TGCTCCGAGTTCTGAGAGCCGCTCCGGCAAATCCCCGGAACCCAAGAAGGGAGGATCCATAGCCAGTGGGTCAGAAGCACAGGTGACAACCTGGACTTGCAATTGGCATCTAGACTGAACCCTTAACCTGTGAATCTGACGGTGTCTCTGGGTACACTATGTCGGAATTGAGGTGCATTGCAGGACACCCAACTGGTGTCCAGAGAATTGCTTGTTGGTTTAGGGGGGTCTCCTATCCCCCTGACAGACACGTTGGAATTGGTACCAGAAACTATTAACAAACTGTAAAAGACAAATGTCGTAGCTCAGTTATCATAACAAAATACCATAGACTGGGTGACTCAAACAACAGAAATTTGTATCTCACCATTCTGGGGGCTGGAAGTCTGAGGTCAAGGTGCCACCAAGGTTGGCTTCTGGTAAGGACCCTCTGCCTGGCTTGCATAAGGTCCCCTTCTCTCTGTCCTCAGATGGTAGGGGTGTGTACCTGTGTGAGCAAACAAAGATGCTTTGCACGTTCCTGTGAGGCCACAGTCCTATCTAATTAGGCTTCCACCATATGACCTCATTTTAACCTTCAATTACTTCCTAACAATGACCCTACCTCTGGATATGGTCACCTTGGGAGTTAGGGCTCCATCATATGGATGTTGGGGAGACACAGTTCAGTCCATACCTAAATAAATAGCAAATAAATATAAACAGAGGCTTGGCATTTATCTTGATCATTTTCTTTCTTCCTGACTTGACTCTTTTGCTCTTCTTTTGGCTTCTTGGGATAAACATGTAGCTCACTTGTCTTTAGTTTTTCTTTGCTTGTGGGAAGTATGTTGAAGATGTAATCTTTCTGGTCAGTATTGCTTTCAGCTCTACATACTTCCTGCTTTCCACGCGGGATCCTTTTCAACGCGAGGTTCTGGATGTTCACGGTCATCACTGTTAGTCACTGCTCCTTTGTAAGTATGTGACGTCCCTTTGTCACCGTGTTGGTTTGTCAGGAGCTTTCCCGCAGATTCCCGTGGTGACGTTTACTGATGGTCAAGGGCGGAACGGGGAAAACATTTGCTCGCACAGTGTGGGCTCGGACCTGCCCTCATCGCCTGCGAAGGGGGTTCTCACACAGGCCTGCTGCAGTCACGTGCGCGACGAGAGGACAGGCGCCCGTGTGCTCTCGTCGGTCAGTCGGTGTCGCTTGTGTTGTGCTCACAGCCCGCCCCAAGTCTTAGGGGTTGGAAACAACCCGGGTGCACTTCTCGGTCATGCTGCCTGTCATCAGCGTGGGGGACTGAACAGATGGCGGCTAAGACAGGTGTACTCCAACTTCTTCCACAACTGCCAAGTGGGAAAAACCTCCCACTGGGGCCGCGCCCGGCCTGCCGGAGCTCCTGCGTGGAAGAGCAGCCTCCCTTGCGCTGGGCTCCCGCAGCCGTCAGAGGCCTGTCTCACCGGAAGGCGCCAAGGAGGCATGGCCTTTCCATGGGCCACTGGGCAGCCGGGCAGCCGTGGAGCACGGCAGTAATGACGACTATGCACTGTATACTCTACGCCCTTTCCAAAACCCTTTTTCGTTTGTTGCCTTTTTAAAAATCCTCTTCAGGCCCTGGCCAGTTTGTCTCAGTGGTTAGAGCGTCCGCAGACCAGAGAGACTCGGGTTCGGTTCCCGCTAAGGGCACGTACCTGGGTTGCAGTTTGTCCCTGGCCCAGGTTGGGGTCGTGTGGGAGGCAGCCAGTTGATGTGTCTCTCTCATGTTGATGTTTCGCTCTCTCTCTTCCTCCTTCTCTCCCTCCTGCTCTACCTGAAGATAAATGCAAAAATGTCTTCGGGTGAGGATAAAAAAAAAAAAAAATCCACTTCAGTTATGTGAGTTCTCATGCATCTTTAATAAAAAATCCAAACAAAACGGAAGTCAGCCAGAGTTAGTTTCCATTGCTTGAAAAAAGATTTAGAAGGCATTCTATTGGTGTGCTGGATGCTCCTGACAGCTTGGGAATGTGGACTTCAGCTCCCACATGGCTGGTTTGACCAAAGGTACACACATATGTCCCAAGAATAAGCTTTTGCTAGGAGCAGGCATGGCACGAGCCAATCTTCAGATTCACATAATTATCGGCAGCCACCGCACGGCAGGCACGAGGCCTGGCATTTTTGCATATGTGATCTAAGTCAATTTCATTCTTCACAAAAACAATTTGAGGTGAGTCTTAGCCATGACTTAAGTATGCAGAAAATGAGGTGCAGGGAGGTGAAATGACCTGTCGGAAAGCCACTGAGCTAGCAAATGACAGCTTTGTTTTTACTTTACCATCTCACCCTGTGGAGGGGAATGGGGACAATGCCATGTGTTTGGGTGGCATGCACTCACTGGCTGGGCAGGACATTGAGACACGTGAGGGGTCCACGTGGGCCCTGAGCACACAGGGAAAGAGGTTGGCATTTATGAACTGGGCAGTGGAGGAAGATTCCTGAGTCAGAGGGGCTGCTGGAGACCAGCACAGACAGGCACGGTGGAGGCTGAACGCCAGCTGGAGCAATACTGTAGATGCTCAGGCAGGTCAGACGGGGCACGGGTGTTAGCCGTGGAGACAGGAAGTCTTCTCTCCAGCCTCCAGACCCGCTGGGCATCGCTGGAGTCTGAGCTCTCCCTCTGTACATAGCCCTACGTTTCGTTACAGGTCTCTTAAGAACGTGCTCCCAGAAAAAGCCTGGATTAAGAGTAGAAAAAAAGAACAGGCACCAGCCTAAGTGAGAAGTCTACAAAGTTTGCCTCCCACAAAAACTATTCTTCCCGTCCGTTGTAGGGCCTAACATTTTACCAATGGGCTCCATTCCTTCAACGTCTCTTATTCAAGTGTGACTATTTGGGGACAAGCGGGAAGGGATCCCGGGAAGTTTCCTCAGTAGCAGCCTCCAGGCAGGGCAGGCACATGCGGGGGACAATCTGGGTGGGCACCATGAAGAACCGGGCACACACACTCCACCTAAAGTGGGCTTCTCAGGTCCAGCCGAGGGGCCCAGAGTTGCTGGATCTGCTGGTTCAAAAGAAACCTCATATCCAGATATTGTTTTGGGGAAAGCCCTCAATTTAAAAATATTGCAACTGCTATAAATTTCCTCATATTACTGTGCCGTCTTTAGTAAAACTAGATTAGAGAACAGGTTCTTTGATCGCTGAGCGGATGGGTAGGAAGCATGGGCACTACTTGTGCAGGGGGCCCTAGGCCACAAACTCGGCCTCCCAGTGCCTGGGCCTTGGAAGGGCGATGGGCCCTGGCAGCGGCGATATTTGCTGCAACCAGAGCCTCCTGGCTGACCACCAGTGGGCCGGGGTGGAAAGCGGGAGGGGCAAGCTTGTCCCCAGCTCCAGGGGGCCCCTTCCCATTACAGCGCAGTCATGCAGTTGTGCAGCCTTTGAAAAAGCATCCCTCGTTACACGGGATGATTTGCAGGACTCCAGACCCTGCATTCCGGAGGTCTCCAGCGTAGCATAAGAAATGTATCAGGAAGGAATGATCTCGATCTGAACAAAGCTGCAGTGAAGGAAACTCACGTCCAGCTGAGAGCAGCAGTGAGCTTTCGTTCGCTCAGGGAAAAGTCCCTGTTCTTCATCTTATTTGATTAACATTTCCTTTTCCTCTTTGACACCAGGTATCTGGTTAATATTTAGACATTGGATACATGTTCTTTCAACTGTTATGTGATCAGGCAAAACCGGAGATGCCAATCACATCAGACCCGCCAAGCACACCCAGCTGTGGCTGGAAGGGCAGTTGGGACTCGCTGGAGCCAGGCCCTGGGAGGGGCTGCCCGGGAGTTGGCAGGGACGCGCCGGCCCCAGGAAGCAGAGTTGCCCAACTTGTATTTGTTTATTCGGTGTTTAGAGCCATAATGGCCTCAGCCTATTTCGGTCTAGGGAAATCTGAATTCCTTTAGTGGCAATGTCCCCAAGAGACGCAGGTGTGACTGTGGTTAAGGAGGAGACGGCCTCATCTTTTGGGTCAGAAAGCAGTCACCTGGTGGCAGGGCAGAGGCACACAGTTTGGGACAGGAAAATCTGGGGGTTTGTGTCAAAGCTCCACCCACTAGGAGCTCCAGGCTAAGATGGGAAAGGCAGGAAAGATGGAAGTTGGGATGGGGAAGCTGTTATGGGGAAGAAATCGCTCCTGGGCCTAAGGCAGGGGGATATTCAGGGAGAGAGGGGGGCGGGTCAGGGACCTGCAGAGTTTGCCTGGAGTCCCAGGGCAGAGGGGAAGCCGGAGCCCGCCAGCCGCTGGCTCCCCGCTCTCTGCTGCGCGGCACCGGCGGCTGGCGGCTGGCTTTGTATCCCCGAAAGTACTGGAGAGGATGGAGAACACGGCGTCCCAGGCTCCCGGGGAAGGGGAAGCCGCGGGGCTGGGCGGGGAACACCTCCAGTGTGTGTGCGTTGAGGAAGGGGGAACACGATCTCCGCTTCCCTCGTGCCCCAGCCCTGCGCTCGCCTCCGCTCCGGCGCCCCCTCCGCAGGCGCGCGCGAGGCGCACCCCCCTTCCCTCGGCGGCGCGGGGCGCGCGCCCGGCCCTCCGCCTCCCCTCGGCGCCGCTCCGCTCTCCCGGCAGAAAGTTAGCAGCGGGGAAGGAACTCGGGGCCGCAACAGCGCGCGGCGGCGGCGGCGGCGGCGGCGGCTGAAGCAGGAGCCGCGGCGGAGCTGAGAAACCGAGGCGCTGCAGGCAGAGCAGGTGCAGCCGGCGGGTCCGCGCGCCCCCCTCGGTCCCCTTGCCAGAGGCTGAGGGGGGAGTGGTGGGGGGCCACCCGGACTCCGCGGGCAGAGCGGGGAAGGGGGCCATGCGGCCCGGCTTCCCCCCGGCGCAGCGGGACAGCGGCCAGGGCCGGGGGCGCAGCGGCGTCGCTTCATGCAGCCGGGGCGGCTGGGCAGCGGCGGCGGCGGCGGCGGGGGCGGCGGCTGAAACCATGTCCGGGCAGCGCTGGGGGCCGCCGCCGCCGCCGCCGCGAGCCGGGAGCCGCGATGGCCCCGTGGCCCGCACCTCCTCCGCCTCCGCCTCCGCCTCCACCTCTCGCCGCGCCGCCGCCGCCCGGCGCCTTGGCTAAGGGGCCGCCGGCGCGCAAGCTGCTGTTTATGTGCACCTTGTCCCTGTCAGTCACCTACCTGTGCTACAGCCTCCTGGGCGGCTCGGGATCCCTGCAGTTCCCCCTGGCGCTGCAGGAGCCGCCGGGCGCCGCCGCCGAGCCCCCGCCAAGCCTGCCGCCGCCCTCCCTGCCGCCTCCCCCCGTGCGCCTCGGCGCCCCCTCGCAGCCGCCCGCGCCGCGGCCGGACAACGCGAGCCGCGTGGAGCCGCCGGAGCCCCCCGAGCAGCCCGCCGCGCCTGGGGCCGACGGCTGGGGGCTGGCGAGCGGCGGCGGTGGCGCAGGGGGCGCCTGGCTCCGGACCCCGCCGGCCCCCAGCGAGATGGGCACGGCGCAGAGCGCGCTGCTGGAGAGGGACGCGCAGGAGTCCAGCACCACCGACGAGGAGCTCTCAGGCCGGAGGGCGGCCAACGGGAGCAGCGAGCGGGGCGGCGCCGCCAGCACCCCGGACTACGGGGAGAAGAAGCTGCCACAGGCGCTGATCATCGGGGTCAAGAAAGGGGGGACCCGCGCGCTGCTGGAGGCGATCCGCGTGCACCCGGACGTGCGGGCGGTGGGCGTAGAGCCGCACTTCTTCGACAGGAACTATGAGAAGGGCTTGGAGTGGTACAGGTAGGACCCCGGGCTCGGCGGTGGGGAGACTCGGGGCAAGTCCTGGTGTTGCCCTGCGGGTCCTGCGCCCCGCGAGGGCTCTGCGAACCGTGGCGGGGCTGCCGAGGGCGCGGTGGAGAGGGCTGGGGGCCAGCTGGGGATCACTTTATTTCAGGGCAAGGACAGGAAGAGGCAGCGGGCTCTGCCTGCTTGGGCTCCTCGTCCAGGTAGCTGCATTCGGAACCTACGCAGCCCCATGTCCAGGAGTCCCCGGCCCTCGTGCCCTGGGAGTGTTCCCTCACGCAGGCTCTCGTGGGGCGCCGCGCTTCTGTGCTGGGGGTGCTGAGGACTGAGGCAGGACAGCTATGGTGACTAACGGGCTTTGAGATCCAGAATCTCTCCAAATCGCCCTAGGACGAATTTGCGTGGTTGAAATTCAATTTGAAGTATTATTTTCAGGTTGTATTTTCATTAGAGCAAAATGAACAGGGAATAGTTAAAAAGATGGTGCTAGCGAGTTTGGGCTTTCTAGTCAAGACTGAGGATGTTCTCCGTCTCCAGAACTTTCTATCCCCTTTTGGCTGAATGAACACTGGGTTGTTGTTGACTCTGGAGCATCATTGTCGACGTGACATGGGGCCCTGAGTGTTGATGCTCTGGACCCCTGCCCTTTTTCAAGAGATGTTCATCTCCCTCCCGCCCACCCCATCCTCTCCGTCAGCGGGAGCGAAGGCAGAGGAGGGAACTAGAAAGTTAAGCGCAGGTAAAACAAATCAGCCCAGCGTCCTGCCATCCCTAACATTCAAAAAGCCACTCTGGTGAGAGTGGATGCCCAGATGCAAACCTCCTTTGCTTGGCTTTTCCTTTTTTCTTTCCCTCTTTCCTCCTGTTTTATCTCTCTTGAGAAGACAGATCTGGATGGCTGGCCCCATCTCTGTTGCATCTCAGAAATTAATTGCAACTGTCAAACAGAAACACAGGCTATGCCAGTTAAAGTGATGTTATCATCTTAACAGAGCCAATAGGTAAAATAGGGATTGTTTCCTAACAAGTTGCTTTCCTGTTGAAGAGATGGACTTTCTAACTTTAAATTACAGTCTTGGGAAGTTTTAGAAATAATAACTTCAGAAACATATGATATGTATATTGTGATTGATCCCCAACCTCCCAACCCCCACCCCCACCACTTTTAAAAACATGCCTCTTCCTTCGTAAGCTGGAGAGAAGTACACTTTGGCATCAACATTCCTGCACATTAAATGGAAATAGCAAATGTGTCTGTTAACATTGTGTCTGTTTCAACAGAGAGAACTAATTGCAATATTTCAGGAGGCTTCAAACAGCCCTTTCCTATCAAAACATAAAACAGCAAATGCCTAATTTAACTGGAAAACCAGTATCTATAACATCACAAACCATGCCTTCCAGTTTGCAGTTATCATTACAAAGGTGTTAGGATGAATAATGCAACCACAGAGGAGCATGATACCTGGGGCGGGGGTGTTCAGTTGGTCGCAGGAAGGTTCTGGCTTCCCCTGTGGGGGCAGCTTTGGCCTTATGAGAGTAACTGGCTTTTTGTTCCAGCCTAATTTTCAAGCTGGGTATCTTTGTAAGAAGTGCCAAATGCCCTTTTGGGGAGAGAGTGGCATAGAAATCAGATCTTTCCAAAATGTGTTTGGGTAGTTTCGCAGCAGCGGGAAACAGAAGGGGGTGTTTGAGTCAGATGACCTAAAATAAAGTTGATGAAGAGTGTGGGGCGGGATGCGTGTCAGGAAGCTCCGTGGTCCGGTCTGCAGAATTTTTCTGACTGAAAAGAGAGATGATCCTGATTTTCCGACGTTCTTTTTACACTGAGGCTGGAAAAGAAGGCGCATCAACTGCCTGGCAGGCAGGACTTGGCTGTGGAATGATTTCAGCCTGTGGTGTTGGGGCTGGGTGTCCGTGCTTGGTAGCTGCCCGTGCAGCTGTTGTGCTGCAGAGATGTGGACGGGAGTGGAGGACCACAGGTGCCCCTGCCCCGGAGCCCCTGCCCCAGGCTCCCGCCACTGGTGGATCCCTATGATGCTTAGTGTTGTGACCGGAAGTGCTGGAGATGAATCTGTCAAACGGGGAGTCCTAGCCACCCACGCCTGGCTGTGAGGAGCGCTCCCAGGAAGCCCCGCACTGACGGGAGCCACATGTGGGACCGCTGGGTTCTCTCTCCAGCCTTACCAGGGACAGCAGTGCTGTGAGGGCACCTGTGGGATTTTCATTAGCTCCGTCTCAGGTCCCGTCTCTGTTCCGTGAAAGAAGAGGGCACCCACCCCGGTTTGTAGAGAGGAAGCCGTGGCGTTGACTCAGACCAGGACAGACCCCTTGCTCGCGGTCCCCTCGTGTGACTCCGTCGTTTTTTGGTGGCCTCTGTACTGGTGTGGTTCCCCCTGCTCCCCGAACACCACGTATTCTGTCTGGAATCGACTCGTCTGTCTGCTGGGTGAGGGGGCCTCTGGTTAATTCAAGGTTTTAATTCCCCCTCCTCACTTACCTGTTTCTTTTTCTTTTTGGTGTGCTTCCCAGTGGCCCAGTAAGGCTGCAGTGTTCCTGGTGCTTGTGTTTTCCACAGGAGGGGAGTGGGAGGAGGGGCCGCTCTCAGCAGAGTCAGCCTGGGCTCTCCCCTACCCAGCCAGCAGCCCTCCCTGTTTTATTCCCTCCGTGTCACTCCGGTTGTGTCTAAATCCGGGTTTTGCTTTCTCCTGTGCTGTTGATCTAATGTGATTTAAAAACACATTTGGGATTAGAACATGTGCCTCAGATTTTCAGGGCAAGATAGCCTCCTGGATTAGGGTGTGCGTGTTACAGCCACAGAGAAGCGAGCCTCCTTTGGGGACCGGCACAGGCCAACCATTAATAAGGGTGTGTGGGGTAGATGAAGCCTCCCCACCCCCCACCCCGCCAGTGAAAGTGCAGAGCTGCAGCGGCCTGTCAGTGCGAGCTGACACCAGCTCCTGGGCAGGGGCCTTGAACTCCTCTGGGGGAGGGGACCCTGTGGCAGGCCTGCCATGGCAGAACCCATCAAAGTGACAAGGCGGCTGGAGCTGCAGCCTCCCTTGTGGTTGAGACTGGACAGTAACCGTGACCACTTTGCCTTTTGGAAACCACTCAGCCCCAGGGCGACGGGAAGTGACCCTGCATGGTTTCAGGTTGTCCTCATGCCAGCAGTTAACACACAGGTCCCTTGGCTGGGGGTAAGTCACGCAGGAGAGGGGTACAGTCACCCTCACGCTCCCCAGAGGAAAGCGGTCACCAGCATCACCTGCACGTGGGTATCTGGAGAGACGGGAGGAGGACGAGGCCCTGGCATTTACTGAGCACCTGTTGAGGTGGTGGTCAGTGCCTTACAGACGTATTATGACATTCAAGCGTCGTGTTGAGGCTGGGGGGGTAATAGGGGCAGTCCTGTTGCACAGGTGGTTCCCGAGGGCAGACGGCTTGCTCAGGGTGTCTCAGCTGGCCTGCAGGTGAGCTGACCACACCGGCCTCACTGCAGAGTTTCTTCCCCTGCCCTGCACGGCCACACGTCAAGCACTGGAAAGCCTTCTTCCTTCGTTCTTGTGTTCGACAGTCATTTCTCAATATTTACCGTGCTCTGGTCTGCTTCCAGGATGGGATGATGTGGGGGAACAAGAGAGGTAAGCCAGCAGCTCTTCTGGAACCGACGTTTCACAGGGTGGATGGGGAGACAGCAAGGCAGCAGGTCGGTCTCTCTGCCTGTTTCATGTGGCCGCGGGATGATTTAAAGTTACACTTGCAGCTCACATTTTATGTCCACTGGGCAGTGCTCCTGCAGAGCAGTGCTGCAGACTCTGATTCAGCAGGTCTGCGGGGAGCTGAGATCATGTGCTTGTAACTTCCCAGGTGATGCTGATACTGCTGGTCCCTGGACCTCACTCTGAGTAGCAGGGGCTGAAGAGTAATTGGGGCACATGCGTGTTACTTCAAATCAAATGATCAGGGAAATCCTCCCTGCGGATGTGATATAAGTGAAATGAAGGAGTAAGGTTCTTCCATGTGAAGATCGGGGTGGAGAGGTTTTCAAGTGGAAAGAACAGCAAATGCAAAGGCCCTGAGGTAGAAATAAACCTCAAGGATTTCCAAAGTGTTCTTTTATTATTCCCAAAGCATGACTTTTGTAGCTGGACAAAACTGGGTTCAAAACCTGGCTTTGCCATGTACTGGTTGGATGATCTTGGTTGGATAACTGGTTTACCATCACTTGGCTTCAGTTTATCTGAGAGTAATTCCTTCCTTGCAGGATTGTTGGAAAGAATAAATGAAATCATACAAGTAAATACATTTTGTAAACAAAAATGGGTATCCTAGAGCAGAAATCCAGGTGGGCCCAGCCTGGGTCTTTCCAGGTCTCAGATCATGTTGGTCTCATGAGCTTTACTTTCTGTCAGGCTGTCATGATGTTGATGCAAATGTTTCTTTATTGGGGATGTTTTTGGGAAAAGTCTAATAAGGATCGGCTTTGCGATCTATATTAGCTTTACCTTTAAACCAAGGGTTGCCGAGGGCCCAGGGGATCCTACGAAGGGGTGAAGTGAGCGAGGTGGGGAGAGACTGGGGGTGCAGACTCTCCCCAGGGGCAGCCACCGCTCACCTCCGGCTGCTCTTTCCTGGGGCAGATGCGGCATCAGGGTTACGTGATCTCCCACTTGACAAGAAAAAGTTGGAAATTGGGTTTTAATGAGAAATCTCCTGTTTCTTTAATGTTGGCAACAGAGTGAAATTTCTTAAAAGTGTGGTGTGGGCCAACCCTGTGAGACAAACAGAACCCGCCAGTGGGCTGGATGCGGCCAGCGGGCTACCCATTTGCAACCTCTGGTTTAAACCCATTTCCGAAAGTAACTGGCACACCCTGCCCCTTTGCACTTGCCGGAATTGTTGCTTACAGGTGCTATTTGAGTTTAGATCCCCCCCCCCTCCACATCTTGCAACAGCATGGGGGAAATACCTCCCAGATATTTCGCAACAACAGC